TGAAATCCCTACAGAGAGACCAGAAGCTTGTAACAAACCACGAGTATATTTAGGGCTGCATTTTCCAAGGGCTGCTGTGGAACAGCGAGAGCATACAAAGCACATCCAAGCACTGGAGAGTTCTGGAAACAGATCCAGAAAGTCTGGGTTCAAACCATTTAAATCTGCCTTCCAAGGCTGGAATCAAAATGTTGAGTCACTTTTTACCTTTGTGTCTACTGCTGAAGCAGCTGAGACCTTTCCTGCTGCCAAGGTTCCCCCCATTTCTGACACTCCCTCCACCTCTACCTCAGGGGATATAATGGAGGGGGCCCAGGTGAGCCACACAAGCTGCAGCTGTTGAGCCTCTCACTTCACCTCTGGATTTAAAGGTAAAAAGCACAATCTGGATCATAGACTGACCATGCTGCAAACAAAGGAGGGCTATTCAGGGGAGCTGAAGAGTTAATATCCATGCTCTACAGCACACACAAGGCTCCTGAATCATGGTTGTTCTGCCAGAGTCAGACTTGCCAGCAACCCATATGCAGTCTTGCTCCAGAAAATAGGAAGAGTCACTGAGCCAATGAAAGCAGTGCTAACTCCCATACAGACGGGAGTCAGCTAGCCAGCTCACACCTGACTTAGTCAGCCTCAACAGATTGCCGTTGTTAGGATAAAATGGAGTGGAGAAGGGCTACCCAAACAACACTGGGCTCCTCACAAGAGGAAAATAAGTCTGAATAGAAATAGAATGCAATGATATGAAGGATTTTTTTTCCTGTAAGGAGCTCGAGGCAGCTTATATAATCCTCTCTTTTTAGCTCTTTTTAGCTTTTTAGCCCATGGCTGAGCGAGGACTGGAACTCAGATCTCCCAAATCCCAGGCCAACATTCTAAGCAACACACCACAGTGGCTTTTGTTTCCTTTTCCTATGCACATGCTGCTCAGAAGGGTGTCCCTATGAAAGCCAACCAAATTTTCATACTGGTATGTAAATGAAGTGTACACTGAGTGACTTGGTAAGCTGGACATACTAGATTACCTGAGGTCAAAGTATGAGTTTACTCCTGAGTGGCCTCTTTCCAGCCACATCTAACTTATCTTCCCCAAATCAGCTACCTTTGCTCTACTTCCTGTTGATCACCTTTCTGCAGAAATTCAAAATACACACAGCGGTATACCTGCAACTTTAGCGGGTGTGTAATAGGGTTTCCAGGTGGCAAGTCAGGAAACCAAATTATCCCTTCCCCTATAATCAAAAAATGTGTTAACTCCTTTTCCTTCGGCTCTTTCATCCACCTGGTCTTACCTGCCGGAATCATCAAATGGACCCCTTTCTTCAGATGTGTCTCCCTTTCCTGGGAGCTTCAGATCAGCTTGTCTCCTTCAGGCTCCCCTACCATCTGGAGCAGAGTGAGTGGCTCATGCAGAGAAAGCCTTTTCAATGACGGTGCCCCACAAGTGCAATACTCTCCCCACACATGGATGCCTTGTGCATGTTCTGCTGACTTTCTGGCATGAAGCAAGGATCCTTTTATTTTATTTTTTAAAACTTCCCCAGGATTTATATTTATTCCACAGCCGAAGCCACAGCCTTGAGTTGAGCTGAGCATTTTGGAGGGCACCCATTAATGAGGTCACTGCAAGTCTGAGACAACTTGGTGGCACATGAAAACAACAGGGTGGATCTATTTAGCATGGAATATTTTGACATTATTTTATGCAGCTTTTTAGCATGTTTTGATGCATGAGTTATTTTTTACTCTAAGCTGTTCTGCCAGTGCATTTGCATAGCGTATGCTTGTATTTGGGCAAATTCATGGAGGAAAAAGCTCTCAGGGGCTACTGGCCCTGGTGGCTCTGTGCCCCCTCCAGGATCACAGGCAGCGTGCCTGTGGCACCCATTGCTGGGGACCTTGGAGTGGAGGGTGCTACTGCACCCGTGCCCTCCTTGTGGGCTTCCTGTGGGCAGCTGGTTGGGCTCTGTGTGAACAGAATGCTCAAGAGATGGACCACTGGTCCGACACAGCTTGGCTCGTCTCACGTTCCTGTGAATTGGGAGATATAACTTGACACAATAAATAGAAAACTCCAAGCTGTGCTGCAGAACTCGCAGGTAGGTGCATAAAAGAATCAGGTAAGGCAGGCGCTCGGAACCTGGCAGTCCACGCTGCAGGCCAATGCCTGAAGCCCAGGAGGGTGCCCTTCTCCAAGCCTCTGTTTTGAGCCTGGGCCAGTCTACACCGCAGACGTCATGGCTGCAACCTCTTGCCGTATCTTGGAACTGGCAGTTTCTTTTGCTACCCCCTGCTTTTTGTTCCAGTTAGCTGGAGAACTCCCTAGCTGGCACACTTATGTGGAATTTTCTTCAGTCCTAGCAGAAGGGATTTCCCAACTGCAGATTCCAGGTTGTTATTGACCCTAATCATGTTGCAATACTACTGATTGCATTCTCAGTGAATGGAAGCAACCAAACTCAGAGGCATCAATTAACCAATGCAAGGCAGGAGGAAGAGCAGAGAGGAACATTCTCCCACCTCGTGGATTTTGCTAGGCAACTCTTTGGCACACATTTAGCAAAGGCACTTCAGGGAAAGCAGGAAAGAGCCTGGAGGAGGGTCATGATAGCTCCTGTCCTGGTTTTGTGGGTCTCCTGCTTGCACACCCTCAAAGCACCCCTTCCTCCTTCTCCAGGGTCACTTTTCTCACCTTGAAAGGCAGCCAATGCGGTTCTTCCATGCTGGCTGTGAGGGGACAAGGGCCAGAGGACACAGCGCCGTCTCCGGCCCTGGAAGTGGTAATCTGAACAGGCTTGTGATGCCAGTACTGCTCTTCCAGGAGCCACGGGATTCCTCTTGCAGGGGGTGAAATGCTTTCCGGACACTTAGCTAATGCTGGTCAAAGATTCAACTGCTACACCAGGCTTCAGTTAAAAGCACAAGTACAAGAGAAAAAGTAGCTATCCAGCTACACAACAAAATAGGGAAAATAACATAAACAAGAGCCAAGAGCTTCAGGATGCTGAGTACCAAAGTCTGTGCTTATGCAGTACGACTGGAGACACACGGCCAGGCCTTTGCCTGTTCGTTCCCTGTCAGCCTACAGACAAATCTACTAGTATGACCCTCCTATCTGCACTTGGACAGCTTGGGCAATCGCTTTGTTTGGCCTATCACTTTCACTCAGGTGCTGATCTCCTGGCAGATCCGCTGTTCAGACTTTGATTAACTCCTCTGGCTGAGCTGGAGTTGTAATGGAAAATTTCCCTGTGTGTGTTTGTGGCTATCAACCCTGATCCCCTGGGCACTCACTCATCTCCCAGGCCTAAGACATTTCTAAGTTCACTGCTTTCCCCAAATGCTTTTCCACAGATGCCTCTAGATCCTGGCACAGGCTGTCCCTTTGCACCAGGGACTGTGCAGGCAGCATTCCACTAGAATTATATATGGCCGACAATGGCCCTTATAATGGCTCAGACAGTATGTCGAAGAAGCCCATGGCATTTGCTGAGTCTTGCAATGGCTTATCAGATCACACACAAGCACCTCTTAATTGCACAATCTGTTCACCATGTTCGGACCGTCATTTTCCAGAGAAATTCTCACCAAGATGGAAAAAGACCTCACTCATCCCAGACTGTAGGACACGGAACAATGAACTTAAACTAGAGCACACCAGGTGCAGGCTAGAGCAAGGAAGCTAACCAGACTATGCGAGCAGTAGGCAGTGGAACCAGCTGCCAAGAGAGGTCGTGTGCTCTTCCACACTAGAGACACTCAAAAAGCAACTGGGCAGCCACCTGAGTGGGATGGTGTAACTGGTGTCCTGCACCAGCAGGGGGGTTGGACTCGATGGCCTTCTTGGCCCCTTCCCGCCCTGCTATTCTATGATTCTGTGTACTGTGCAATTTCCCTGCCAAAAGAACGCTTGGGATTAAGGATGAAAACATTGCAAGATCTTTAATGTTTGAGCTGAGTGCGGGTGGCAGGGAGTTAGTATTTGGTATGTTCAATTATTGGTCTGCCTGCATGAGGCTACTGCTGTTCCAGGATTCAAGAAGTCTGTTAGTGACTGCTGAGAGTTTTTATTCAAACTGAGAATGTTTAAAAGGAAGGATGGGGCATGTCATATGCTCGAGGAAGCAAATTTGCTTTCTGAACACTCCAGGGAGATTAATTATCTCAATAAACCAGAAGGTGAACTTCAGAGAGAGATTCCAGCACAGTACTAAGCAGAACAGGTTGGTCTGAGAAAGGAACCCATGTTTCCGGAAGAGGCCTACTCCCACATTACAACAAATGGTGTGTCCTAACAAATGAAACACTCTTAGTCATTATTACGATTATGACAGCTGGGGAAGGTGCACCAAGTGCTCACCATGCAGGGCAAAATTGGACAGAATGAAGCTGTGGTGACCAGTGCAACGCACTGCTACTCAGAAACGAAGCTTTCAGGGCTCAGAGGGGTTTACTGTGCAGTGTTCTGCATACAGGGCTGGACCGGGATTCAGGAGATCCAGGTTCCAATTAGTGGCTGAATACTTTCATAGAGCATAATCATTATAATGATATAATCATAACCGTACCGTTGCTACAACGGCCTTCATGCCTTGCCGGTATGGTGTTGGGGTTAGGATACTGGCCTGGGACTTGGGAGATCCAGGGTGTTGTCCCTACAAGCCATGAAGCTCGCTGGGTGGGCCAGTCACTGTCTCTCAGCCTAGTCTACCTTGCAGGGATGTTGTTGTGGGGATAAAATGGAGAGGAGAACCACCCTTGGCTTCCTTTAAGGGAAAAAGGTAGAATATAAACATACGAATAAACAAATGGGTGATGGAGATTCCAGCCTAAGGAGCCTGAACTAGGAAATGAGAAGCCTAGGGTTCAATTCGTAGCCTCAGTCCCTTACTTGCCTACTCTGCAGGGTTATTCTGAGGATTATAAATGATCATCTGTGTTAAGCATTCAAGGATTCAAAGGCCAGCACTAACAGGGAAGGAAACAGGGGTCATACTTACTGTTTTTGAGGTAGTGCAGAGGCTGGGGGCGGGCGTGGGGGGCTGGGCCACGGGTTGCCCTGGAGGCAGGCCGAACCTCTGTCCTGTATCCGGTGGCGGGGAGGACGTGTGGATCCGTGCCTCTAGCCTCTCCGGTTCATGTTTGTAGGATTCGATCGGAAATGCCGGCTGCTTGGTCACTTGTGTCGGGGTTGACGGAGAAGAGGACAGGCCAGAGGCTGTGCACAAACGAAGGGACAAAAAACCCACAATGTTACTAAACCTTGATGTACATGCAGGAGATGAGTAATGACTTTATCTGCACAAAGACCCTGAACTTTTTGCTCTCTAAACGTACAAAAATCTTATTTTTCACCTTATGAAAGTTGGCTCTTCTTCTCCGTTGGCATACCATGCTTTTAAATGCACCCATTTTAACCCTGGCCAATGAGTTTGTTTGTGTTACGGCTTCAGTCACATCCCAACACATGCATGCATAGAGAAACCAGTAATTGCTCAAAAGGGCGGCAAAACTAGAAATCCCCCAGCTTGGATCTTTAGCACCATACGGATAGTGAGCATCATCATCAAATGCTTGGGGAAATAACACTGCTTTCTTCGAGAGCTCTAAATTCCCTTACAATTCTTAGTGTGTGTGTCCACCCTTGACAACTGTTGGGGGGGGGGAGGAAAGCGGAGGGTTTCCCGGGCAAGAAAAGTCAACTTGTTATAGAAAGGAGCAGTGCAAGCTGAGACAATATGCATTTTCAAGCCTTGTTTTCCATGCAGAATTAACAAGCGTCTTCAAGGGAACTTCCATCAGGTTTCTTTCCTTTCCTTTGGTCTATCAAGAGTTTCTTGCAGACAGCATGAGGTATAATGCCCTTTTCCATAGCAAGAATTGCTCGGTGGACAATGGCGGTGGGTACTTTAAGAGTTACCTCTCGAGCAGAGCTGACAAACCTATGGCACATGTGCCACAGTGGGTTTTGGACTGCAATTTGGGTGCTTGGTCTCTAAAAGGTTCACCATCACTGGTTTAGGGTTGGAAAAATGAGGTGTCCTGGCATGCTCTTGATGATTGGAATGTGTTTAGAATGGACAAAAATGATGAGCTGTGCAGAAAAAGCTGCTCGAGGAAGGCTTTTTCAAAATCGCATTATTTTCAATGGAACTGTATCCCTATATGAGGGTTAGGGGGGTGCACCAGGGCAGGGTTCAGCCAGCGGTGGTGAACCTATGGCGTGTGTGCCACAGCGGCCACGCAGAGCCCTCTCTGTCGGCATGTGAGCCAAATCGCCCCAGCAGCTGAGCATTGGATAACTGCGCACAGAGGGGCCATGCGCATGCTCGGAAAGGTTAGGGGTTCCAGGCGATGACGTCACGATCCGCGACAGGTTTTATTGCAGTGTTGGCACTTTGGGATAAGTAAGTGGGTTTGGAGTTTCCGTTTGGGCACTCGGTCTCTAAAAGGTTTGCCATCACTGCTCTGGAGGCTTTGCGCCAGCACCATTACTCCAGCTTAGCTCAGCCTTTGCAAACAGGGGCTGTATGATCCTTGGCACTACAGGTTCTGTGGATGCTTGGAGACCACATATCATTACTTCAGAGCGGAGGTCTCCTTGAACAGCCATTTGGGTTTATGCAATTCGTCACCGATAACATGTAATAACTGGTAAGGTGCTAGTTTCAGAAAAATGTTAACCCCATTGGTGTGGAAAGCACCTGTTACCCTGATGTGATAATCTATGGGTAACAGAACACCTCAAAGCAGCAAAGACATTGATTAAAAATCTAATGTGGTACAGTGGTTAGTGTTGGGCTGGCACCTGCGAGATCTGGCTTCCAGGCCTCACTAGGGCCTGAAGTTCACTGGATGAATTTCAGCCAGTCTCAGACATTCAGCCTAGCCTACCTCATAGGGCTGTTGTGAGAAATGGGGAGCAGAAGCTGGTAAGCCACCATAGTTTCCTTGCAAGAGGGGGAAGACAGGAACAGAAACACTTGTTTGACCTCTCCTAGGAGACTTTCATTTGTGACATGCTAAATAAAATGGAGGAGAAAACAGCAACCCCTTTGGAATGCTCTTACATGGGAACGTACTGTTATTGTTGCTGCTACATTATATTCGTATCCTTTTCTTTCCCTCTTGTGAGGAACCCAAGGTGGCTTACATAATTCCATCTTATCCTCACAATAGCAACCCTGCGAGGTAGACTGAGAGTCTGTGACCGGCCCAAAGTCATCGCATGAGCTTCATGGGCAGGTGGGGACTGGAACCCTGATCTCCCAGGTTGCCAGTCCAACGTTCGAACCACCACACCAAGTTGTGAAGCTGCCTCAGACTGTTATTCCACTGGTCCACCGAATCTCGTATTTTGTGCTCTGCCTGGCAGCACTACTCTGCTGTTATTCACTAACAGTTTAGCCATTGCTTTGCATGGGGCCTTTTAAAGGGCCAAAATGCAGGGTATCAATGCTTTTATAAAGAACATGTCTCAGGGAGAGGTCCCTTTCTCTTTTTTTCTCTTTAATTATTTTTAATGGGAAAGAAAGGGGAGTAATAGATGGAAAAAAAGAAAGAACCAGCATGCTAGGAAATGCAACAGGAAAGAGAAAAAAGAGGCAGATGGGCAAGCAAGAGAGTGTGAAGATGGCAGCTGAGAAGGAAGGAGGCGGGCTGGCACTTCCTCTCCAACGTGTAAACGATCGAGGCTCCAGGAAGGCCACACAAAACTGAGAGGAGGGGGCTGGCAGCGGCTGCTGCAGGAGGAATAGTCGGGGAAGCCACTGCTGCTTGCTTTCTTGCTGCATTTGGAGGCATATACATTTCCTCCAGTCTTGAATCATATGGTGCAAGGCCAGGGGGTGCTCTTTTGCAAACATCTATAGCAGGTGCTATGCATGTGTACTGAGCAGATTCTAATGCAAGGATCAAATGAAACCTATGGTTGTTATTTCCTTCTTTGTAATTGGTCCTGTCTGTAGGCCTTTACTTGCAGGATTTTAGCAGGTTCCACCACTTCTTGCTCACGAGTAATCCCTCTGCCTTCGTTTCAATGTGTCGTGCAGCAAAAGCCTTTCACAAGAGGGCAAAGCACGCCAGTCCTATGCAGAGCATTGTGTGTGCATGGAACAGGAAACAGAAACGTGTAATCATGAGAGGTGACAACGCACGCAGAGTCTGCATCCGTACAGAAATCCCTGTCATTTGGGATAGCCCCACGAGCACCCAGAACGGTGGAAGCAGAAATGCTCTTGGTTGGGTTGGTTGTTTAGCACATGCGCTTGGTTTTGGTGGGTTGCCATGGGACAGAAAAGGACACACTGAAGCAGGAAGCAAGCAGCCAAGCTACAGACTCACTAATCATGCCGGTGCAGCTGAGCTGGAGATCTTTCTTTGCTCCAGTGAAACTGCATGTAATCCCAATTTAAGTCAGGGCCAGCATAGCTGAGAGGGAGATGATTAAATTTCCCCTCCTCCTTCCTGTACTTTCCTGAAATTCTACACAGGCATCCCCATGGAGGTTGATGGAAAAATATTTCCACCAATGCAAATGGAAGGGAGGTTTTTTGCTTTTTAAACCCCTATGGGGGCATGGGTGGAATTTGTGGGAGTTTAAAAATGGGGGGAAGTGCTAATTCTTTCTTTATCGATCATGCCTGTCACCATCTGAACTGGAATGGTGCAGAGTTACACTGAAGTTTAAAAAAAAATCTGGCTCAGCTGCAGCTTCCCAATTAATCTGCAGCTCCAACCCTCTTTTGTGTAGTCGTCCACATCACTAATAGTGTTTAGTTCCTTGGAGTCTTGTTCAGTTTAACATTTCCTTTTCCAGTGCACTGCTGTAGAAAGCTCTCTTTTTTGCTAGAGGGACAATGATCAATCACAGAATTTAAGAGTTGGGGAGAATCTTGGAGCTGCTTTCGACAAACACCCTGCTCCAAAGAGGAATATGAATCCCCTTTTTTACATGTTCAAAAAGGCATGGAAATTGCCTCCATCACCTTCAGATGGCCTCCTGGGCCATCTAGTCTGACCCCAGCTCCAACCAGCTCCAGTCATAACATGCCTACAACATGCACGTCCAGCCTGTCCTTAAGCACCCTCAGCAATGGGGCTTCAACCACCTATGGGAGCCCATCCAATAACCTAGGAGTCCTAACTATCAAGTAGTACTTCCTGGTATCCACCTTGAATCTTGGTTCCCTGAGCTTTGCTCCTCTGGAACACATCCTGCCCTCCACCGCAGAGGAAAACAGGTCACAACCCACCTCTGTGTGACACCCCTCACATACTGCATGTTGTTAATAGGTCCCCCCGAGTCTCCTCTTCCCAAGGCTGAAAAGACCCAGTTCCCTCAGTCTCCCCACATAGGACTTACCCTGCAATCCGGCCACCATCCTTATGGCCCTACGCTGCACCGATTCCAACCTTGCTATATCCCTCCTGTAATGAGGGACCCAGAACTGAACCCAATGCTCCAGCTGTGGGCAAACGAGTCGCACAGAGTGGCAGAAATACCGCTCTCGATCTAGAAGCCACGCTTCTGGCTATGCATCCTAGGGTGGCGTTCGCCCGCTTGACCACTGCGTCACACCGCTGACTCAATATCTGCAGATGTCAGAACCAAGACTCCTATTTCTGTCTTAAAGTAGATGCTGTGCATAGATATGAGCTCAGCTTGAGACAGCAGGACACAAATCTCTCTCTCATCACTGTCCTCAACCTCCGCTGTGTATGAGGGACCCGGCTCTCTAGATGGCGAGAAAAGATCGCTCACAGCGCAATCCCGCAATGCAAAGAGGGACAACTCCAGGGACTTCAGGTGCCAATTTCAACCTGCTTGAACCTTCTGGGATTTGCACTCTTGCCATGTGCTGCTGAAATGCACTGGTACCAGCAGCAAAACAAGCGGTGGTTTGCTGACAAATGTTAGCTGAGCACAACAGCGGTGGCCTCAGAAGGCACAAAACAAGCTCTCTTTCTTTTAAAGCCGAACCAGGCCTTTTTCGGTCGACACTGCAGTTTGCCACCAACACCTGGGGTGCTGAAACACAGGCAACGTATGGGCCCCATGCTGCCCACCATAGCAGGACACTCTGCTGTATTCCAGGAAGCTCACTCCCAGGGGAACTGGGTACAGGATTGTAGCCTTGCTCACTTGCGCAACGTTTAGTTATCAAAAGACTCAATACATTCCTTTCTGGAACATCTCTCGATCTATTAAGTTTTTAT